AGAGAGAGAGAGAGAGAGAGAGAGAGAGTGAGACTGTCATGTCTTGGTATGTAAGCATGTGCTCGACGATGAGTTTGATAATGTGGATGACAGGACACCCATGTGAAGGTTCCTGTGCATATGACAACGTGTGTCAGTTTTCTTTGCCTTGCCCTTCTGCTCACATGTCTGGAGCCCTTAAGAAAAAACTAATGGGGGGTCAAAGAGCCAGGGGTCTGGCAGCCCCACCCTTCCAGGGCACTGGGGCCAGGGTGATGTTGTGGGCTCTGGGAGGAGGGCAGAGAGGGAGGGGTCTGGGGGTCTGGGGAGGAGCTGCTGGGGAAGATAAGGGCTGCGTCAGCTAGGAGGCCCCAGAGTTCGTCTTTGGAGTTCTCTTTCTCCTTTGGAATCCTCTCCCATTTTTCCCACCTCGGTGGCCCAGGGAGGCCAAGGTCTCTTTCCCCCTTCCTTCAATCAAAAGGGCTTCCAGAAAAGGAAGAGATGTATTCACACTAAGAAAAGTGTAGGAGGAATTTTTCAGTTAGGAGCTAGTCTTTGGAGAGGGAGTACCTTCCCAGGGTGTTGGAAAGCCTGTCACCTTGGGAGCATCCATGCCAAATATGTCCTTTCCTGTCTCCTCTTCCTTCTAAGACTGCCCATTTGTACAGGGCTTGATGATTCATAAAGGTGTTCATCTACTTTATGTTGCTGGATCTGTACAGTAACTCTTTTTTTCTAAGTTTATTTATTTTGAGAGAGAGAGAGAGAGTGTGTGTGTGAGTGGGAGAGAGGGGCAGATGGGGAGAGAGAGAATCCCAAGCAGGCTCCATGCTCAGCGCAGACCCCAACATGGGGCTTGATCTCAGGAACCATGAGATCAGGACCTGAGCTGAAATCAAGAGTCAGATGCTTAACCGACTGAGCCACTCAGGCGCCCCAGTACAGTAACTATTTGAGAAGAATAATATGCCTGTTGTACAGATGAGGAAACTGAGGCCCCAAAGGATTAAAGTGCATCTTATCAATCCCACATTAACAGATTGAACTGGGATTTGAACCCAGGACTTGCACTTTCCTGCACACCACTCCCTCTTGGCGTCCTCTTTCTCACCTCCTGCTTCCTCCCCAAACTCCTGCATCTGAGAGATGCCCCTCCTTATTATAATTCCCACCTGCGCATTGTCTCCGTTTTATCTCTCCATCCCCTTCAGAGAGATCTCATAAAACCTGGTAAGTCCTGATTCTAAAACTTCCATCCTGCCCTCACTCTGGCACCTTAGCCCACCACTGCTGCCCTCTTGTGGGCCTGGTCTGCTGCCCTGTGAGGCAGGAGCATCTACAACTGGGTCCTTCCCAGTACCCAGCACCCACAGCCCCACCTCATCAGGCTTGGAGCAGGGACTCGTGCCAGGGGAGGATGAACCGGGGCTAGGGGCTGGTGGACAGGGCCTGCCCCTCCTCACAGTTCCCTGCCCAGGGGCATGGAATCCCGAGCATCCCCACTTGGGTTTGCCACTGGACGATGCAGAATGATGGGGCCTTGGCATGAAAATATGTCCGTTTCCTCCTGGGACTTTGTTGATCCTGGAAGTGAGGGAGAGGTAGCGCCCAGACTCCCCAGGAAGCCACGCTGCCCCATCCACTCTGCCCTCCCCCTTCTCCTGTAAACAGCAGAAATCGTGAGAAGGACTGCATGGACTCCCCATTTTCCATGTGCCAGGGGCCATTCTAAGCATAAACTCACTTAATCCCCACAACAATCCTGGGCAGGGGGTAGGTAGGGACTATTATTATTCCCATTTTGCACATGTACGGGCTGAGGCTAGAAGTTAAGATTCTTGGGCAAGGTAACAAACTTAATTTATGGGGGAGCCAGGGTCAGGCCTGGATCTAAGCCCAAAGCCAGGGTTATTCACCCTCCACTGTGTTACTGTGTTCACCGGAGCACCTGGGCCCTGCTTACTGGACGTCATCAGCCTTGTCCCAGACCAGAGCCTCATGTCTGTCCGAGTCCTGGCCACTGCTCTCTCCCTCGCCCAGAAATTCCTTTCTCTGCTGGCAGGAGCATCAACATCCCCACCTCTGCATCTTTGTACCTGCTGGGCCCTCCTGCTGAAACGCCCACCCTCCACCCTTGCTAGCCCAGCCTGTCCCCCAAAGCTGAGTCTACACTGAGCCTGGGCCAAACCACCCTCTGAACACTCTCACCCCTGCCTTCTCTGTTCTGTGCTGCCCAGCCCTTGACACCACCCCCCAAATAGCATGGGAACTCTCTCAGGTCAGGGCCCTGTCTTTCCTCTTTGTGTTTCCCACGTTTCTCATCCCCACCACCTCCCAGAGTCTGGCACAATATGGCTTCCATAAACACTTGGTCGGGGAGAGACCAGAGGTCCCAGTAGTTCATGCTGTTTATGTAGGAGGTTGGAGGGCAGGGCTGTACAGTAAGCAGTATGTTGGAGACCCTGAGCTGGTTCAGGAAGAAGTCAGGAAGCTCTCTATCTTAGGGGAGACACAGCACTGTCCTCAGGGAGCCCCAGTGTGAGGGGGCAGACAGCCCTGCCTCAGGGAGCAACAGTCTGAGGGGAGACATAGCCCTGCCCTCAGGGAGCCCCAGTCTAAGGGAGGAGACACAGCCTTGCCTCAGGGAGCCCCAGTCTGAGGGGGCAGACAATCCTGCCCCAGGGAGTCCTTGTCTAAGATAGTTTTATATCTGAAGCTCTCCTCAGAGCAGGTGACAGGGCTGCTTCTGTTTTGAACCTCCCTGGAGTGTTGGTGGCCAAGCTGGCCTTCATGGTGCTGTCCTTAGCCTTTAACCCCACTCCAATCCCCACTCCAAGACTTTTAGTTTCCATGGGCTTCCCTGTTCTCCCTCCCTGCCCCAGACACACCTTCTGCCCTAGTTCCCAGCTGTGACCTTGCTTTCTGCCTGCTTTCCTTCTAGAAAGAGTGATCAAGGAGAATTTCTCCCCAGCCTCTCTGCCCTTTTACCGCCAGCTGCTGCATTAGGGGGTGGGGGTGGGGGGTAGAAGGAAAAGGGGTGGGCTGGGGATTGGGGTTGATCCACCAGGACTGGCTCTAGTGAAAAATTCTGCTGACCTGTCTTTTGTAGCCAAAATCAAGACCCTGCCTTAACTGCTGTTGTGTTTTATTCCTTGTTCTTTTATTTGTTTTTCAAACAAATATACTTGACCTTTGCCCTCAGAAGAACTCCTTCAGGTGGTGCCACCTGTGGCCTGGGCACACTTACTTGGAGAATGTGCTGGGGCTCAAGCAAGCTTGGGCCCCTTCCTGGCGCTTCCCTTGTGGGCAGGGATGAGCACAGGACAACCTGTGTCTTTGTGGGAGGTGTCCTATAAACCAGGACTCAGCTTAAACCAGGGCAGGATTACCCAAAACCACATCCAGCATGTGCTTAGGGCAGCACCAAGTCCAGGGTGCAAACTGCCCAAAAGAAGCTATTTTATTTTTATTTATTATTATTATTTTTTTAACCTTTATTTATTTTTGAGACAGAGAGACAGAGCATGAACGGGGGAGGGTCAGAGAGAGGGAAACACAGAACCTGAAACAGGCTCCAGGCTCTGAGCTGTCAGCACAGAGCCCGACGCGGGGCTCAAACTCACGGACCGTGAGATCATGACCTGAGCCGAAGTTGGACGCTTAACCGACTGAGCCACCCAGGCGCCCCAAAAGAAGCTATTTTAATTTTAGCACCCGAGTGTATTTTTGTGATTTCAAAAAAGTGAACTTTTGTTTTAAATTATGTATAGGCTCTACATTTTATGCAAGGGGCTCCCTGGTCATCTTGGCCTCTGCAGACTCTAAATGAGGAGTATTTGTCATTTGGAGCCTGTTGAGGAAAAAATACAAATAAAAAAGAATCACAATCCCAAGATATATCTACAGGAAGTGCACGAAAATGTTCAGAAGGGACATTTCTCACATGGGTGGGTCCGTTTGGGTCTCTGTGCTAAAAAATCTGTTTGGTTACCTTATCTAAAAATGGAGGTTCATATCCCCTTACTCACAGATAGGGGGACCTCTCCCATTGTAAGCCAAATCTCCCTGTTCTGGAACTTTTCTGATCCCATGTCCTCAGGACTGCTTCAGGTGATAGAAGCTGGGCTGCATATTTTATCTCTAACATTATGCTAGAAAAAGGGACAGTGGGTGGTGTGTCAGCCCCCCCGGATGACATGATGGCCTATTTCAATGATCTGTAGTATTGAATCCCACCACACCACATGCCTCCCAATACACCATCACAGTCACTGATCTGGGGGAGCCAGAGTCCTAGCCTTAGCTCTGCTCCTTGGGGTGCTGTGTGACTTCGACTGAGTCTCTCTCCCACTCTGGGCTGGCATGGCCCTTCTAGAATGGTTGAAAGTGCAAGAACCTTGCAGGCAGGCTGACTGGGCACTGGGAAAGGAGTCCATGGCAGTCACAAAGCCGTGGTCCCTCAGGAACTCTGCCTCTTAGGTGAGGTCAGAATGCGGCACACTCCCCCTTCACCCACTCAGCCCCCCAAATCATCATTTCAGTAGACATGTGCTGGCCACTTAATACACATCAAGCTACACATCTGTCTACTTGGGGATAAAAATGTGAAAAGATCCACCAGAGTGCCTCTGTGGTAGTGACTTTCTCCCCCTTTCGGAGATAGCCAATGCCTGGTGGAGTTTCAGGCTCTACAGTTCTCTGGAGATGAAAAAAAAAAAGGGGGGGTGTGGGGGCAGGGGGAAAAACAGAGGTTGGCTGGACCCAAGGGGCCTCCATTTCTCCCCTCCCCCCCACAGGGTGCCACTGTGTCCCTCTCAGAGACAGTGCAGAAATGGCGAGAATACCGACACCAGTGCCAACGCTTCCTGACTGAGGCTCCACCCCCAGCCACAGGTGAGTCCAGGTGGGACCCTCACCCAACCAATCCCCTGGAGACTTTGAAGGCGCTCCCCACCCCCAAGCTATGGTTGGGCATCATCTGCCTCTCTAGGATGCCACACCTGCCCGATACCTGGGGGTGCCACCTTATTCCCCTTTTCTCCAGCTCGAGCCTCTTGGGAGCAGGGACCTGGCCTTTCCATTCTGTGTCCTCCTTAGCACTTCTGGCCTGTGCTGGGGCTGGAGGTCCAACCAACATATTTGTAGGAATAAATGTTTCAGAGGAGTTTATGGGGTGGTCTAAAGAGCAGAAGATTGGAGCTGGCTGGACCCTGCAATCACAGCACAGCGGCCGTAGAGGGTTATTCGAGCCTCATGAGCTACCGTTCCCCCCTCATCTATGATGTATACTTTAAGAATAGGCCTATAGGCACTCTTCTTAGATGTTTGCGTTGCAATTTATTTTCACACTGAGGTGGTCTTCCATTTTGATCTCAGCAAGTGTATAATCACAGTCTTTCCCTTGTTTGAATACTGCCTCCATAGGGAGTCTGAATAAATCATGGGTCCACTGAAAATTCCAAAAAAAAAAAAAAAAAAAAAAAAGAATGGCCCATAGGGATTTATTGAGCACTTAACTACCATGCTCAAGTATCTATATAACACAGTATTTGTCTCCAAAAGGCCCTGTGGGCTCAGGATTAGTCCCATTTTACAGGTGAGAAAATAGACATTAAGTAACTTGCTCAAAGTTCCACTGCTGACAAGTGGCTGAGTCCCCTGGCCTGGTACCTGCTGGGTGGGGACAGTGCTTGGCATACAGCGAGTGCTCAGCAGAGGTTAGCCGAGTGCAGGGATTCTGCCCTGCCAGCCTCCACGGTGGCAGTGGAGGGGATGTGCCACTGGCAGGCCAGGTGGGGACTCAGAGACTGTTCCTCTTGCACCCAGGCCTGTTTTGCAATCGGACCTTCGATGAGTATGCCTGCTGGCCAGACGGGCTGCCGGGCTCCTTCGTGAATGTCAGCTGCCCCTGGTACCTGCCCTGGGCCAGCAGTGGTAAGTCCTCTCTCCTTTTCCCTGTGTCCAGGAGGCTGGGGGGCAGGGGGGTGGAGTTGGAGCAGGGTGCACACTGCTGCCTTTCTGCCGAGGCACAGCCGTCCCCACCCCAGAAGATCTTTAGGCCTCCTAATGGGTGGGTTCCCTGTCTTTCCTCTGGGGGGTACAGTAGGGGGTGTCAGGTGTAACCTAGGCTAGGGCCTATGCTGGCATGTGACAGGGGGAGGGTAGAGTGTGGGGTTTCAGCCCCTGACTTAAGAGAGAAATGTAAGCCCCCTCCATCCAGTAGTCAGGAAAGGAGCTGGGTAGGAACAGACTTAGGGTTGGGGGTTACCCAGAGGCATCACTACTCTGGGTATGTGTATGTGTGTATGTATGTACGTATGATGTGTGTTTGTAGGTGCCCCATACCTGGTAGTGGTACCTGGCTACCTCCTGACTCTTCAGAGGCTCACTGGTCACATGAACACAGATGGGATTAGTCATCAGGGTGCTGCTGGGGTTGTCCCTCCCCAGTGGGCTTCCCTCCCTAGATCACTCTTGCCTGCAGCGGACCCTGCACCAGGAAAGGTGTGTCTGGGTGGGTGCGAGAGTCATTGGAGTGCAGGGACCTACAGAGCCTGCAGGGGGCACTCTGCTCGGAGGGCTACCTAATGCGCCCCCATCACTACCTGTCTATCCCAAGCACCAGGGAGGCTAACAGGAGACTAGCACCCTGGCCTCAAGGAGCTCATAGTCTCAGTAAGGGGAGAAAAGACTCTCATAATAATGATAGCTAATATGTACTGGCGACCTACATGCCAAGTCTTGCCTTAATAGCAGAGTATTCATTTACTCTTTACAATTACCCTGTGGTTATGCTTGTTGTACAGCTGAGGAAACTGAGGCCCCAGAAAGTTTCAGCCACTTGCTCCAGATGATGTGGTAAATGGTAGAGCCAGGATTTGAAGCCAGCCTTGTGCTCTTAACCACTGTGCCTTGAAGAGGCCTTCAAGCAGAAACCAACCCAAAAGCAAATGTCCTCATACTATGGGAAGCCAGCAGTCTTCCTGGAGGGGGCAGCCCCTTACTGGAACATTAGGGCACCTGGGAAGGCCTGGCGTGGATATCACCTCAGAACAAAGGACTGAGGTCAGATGAAGCCCAAGCAGGAGTGCTAGGAGGCTGTTTCCTTCTCTGCTCTCTCAGGACCCCCACCTCACCCTGAGGTGTGCAGGGAGAACGTGCACCTGGTAAGATGCAGGGTGGATCTGTGCCCCCCTCCCCCGCGCCCGCAGCACTTCTGTGGCCTGTTGTAAGCACTTTACATACCTACACTCATTTCATCCTCACAGCGTTACCCCATGAGCAAGTACTCTGATTATGCTCTCATTTTATAGAGGAGGAACCTGAGGCACAGAGATGCTACATGCCTTTTCCAAGCCCACAAGCTAGTGGGTAGCAGACCCAGGAATCAGGTCTGGAGTCTGGCTGAGAGTGCGTTTCACTGCTGCACCAGGCTGAGTGAGCCTACATGCACGTGTGTGCGCATGTGTGCGTGTCGCTGTGGCTCTGGGCATGACGACAGGTGGGTGGCCTTGGGCCTCTGCTGGCTGGGCACACTCCATCCAAGAGAGGGCGGTGAGCGGCCTGGCCTCTCCCTACAAATGAAAAAGTCGAGTCCTACAATCTAATGGTTCTGTTTGCCGATGTTGTGAGTGGCTGTGTGAGCTTCGGCAGATTCCCAGACCGCTTTGTGCCTCAGCTCACTCGCCCATCTGGGAGATGGGATAAATCCGGTGATAAGGGTCGCTGGGAGGATTGCAGGTTCTTGAAGAATGGTTGCTGTTAATTTTCTCCACCCACCCTACTTACCTCCCCCACCTCCCCCAATACACAGACTTTCCCTGCCTCCGAGAGGTTTGGGACTGGCTGCTTGGCCAGCCTGGGCTGGGCCTCTAGACCCCAGGGAGCCGGGCCCAGGACAGGGTCCATCACTCAACACTAAGCTGCCCCCAGCTCTGCCTGCCACTCGCAGCTCCATCCATCACCTTTAATTTTATTTGAGCAGGAAATAGGTCCTGGTGGTGCCCGTTTATGAGCGAACACAGTTTTATTGCTTTCTCCACGAAGATATTGGCCACTGCATAGGCCCCCTGCCAGTCTCCACCCCCTCCCTGACTCACCAGGCTAATTCACTCCCTTTTCTGACACTCAGGATCACTGACTCTCCCCTCCCTGAGTTAGGGACCTGTAGGGAGACCCACCGTGGGCTCCCACAGCATAATTGCGGTCTCTGGCTTGTCCTGGTGGTCCCCTTGGCAGAGGCTGGCACCAGGGACTTCCCTAACACTCACCCAGGGATTGTGAAAGCAGAAGGGGGCAGTACTGGAGCATTCTTGGGCTGATCAAGGGGAACAGCCTGTGGAGAAACTTCACAGTGTGAGTTAGTGGGGCGGTGGGCAGCAAGAAGGACAGGGGTGTCGCAGGCAGGGTCCTGGAGGAAAACACACTCAGCTGGGGATTTGAGAAGAATTTAACGGAGGGGTCACTTACAGGGGGCGGGGCAGGGTTAAGGGGCCAGTAAGGTGTATAAAGCACCAAGGACTTTTAAGAGGCAGAAGCTTTAGCATTCCTAGATCTGAGTGGAGGGGGAATGGGGAGGCCACCCAGCAGGGCTGTGGCCACACGGGGCCCTCCTACCTTTTACTTGTGCCTCCCATTGGCCAGACTCATAGAGGGCAGGGAGCCCAAGTGATGCTGTCCCCGGGGGGTGCAGAGCAGGGCAAAGGAATGTGCGACTAGAGAAAGGATTAAAACAATTACCAGACACTCAGGTCAGGCCTATGTCAGGAGATAGGGGTACTAATGAGACCTCAGGAGTGTGTGTGGGTGTGCTGCGGAGAAGAGGTGATGCCTCTCCATGGGGCTGAAGAGGTCAGCTCTGGGGAGGAGGGCTGACTCCTCACCACGGGGCTGAAGAGGTCAGCTCATTGGCTCAGGAAGTGGTGCTGAGGGAGGTCAGAGCCACCTCTTTTGCCTGGGGTGTGGCATCAGGAAGGCTTCCAGAGAGAGGTGACATCAGAGCCAGGCCTGAAACAAAAGGGAGTTGGAGAAGGGGGGAGAAGGGGAGAGGGGGACCCTCCAGGAAGGGAGGACATCCAGGCATCACCTTGTAGATGGGGCCAGGCCTCAGGCCTCAGAACCACACGATGTCCTAGGGACCGGATGCCCTCAGACATCCTCGAATTCTGAGCCCTCTAATTCAGAATTTGGGACTCCAGAGGGCAGAAGCAGATGAGGCAAGGAAGGAACATGTTCGAACGAGATGCCTGGTGTCAGTAAGACTTTGTAAACCAGAAGGCTTGAGTGGCTTCTGAGAGCCTGTTGCCGCCTGAGGGCCATCCAGCAGCCTCATTTACCCACAAACAGCTGATCTGCTTGTTGCAAATCATTCTGGTCTCATTAGCTGCACCCCCTCCTGATCTGTACCTGTTTGTTAGTTTAGTTCTCATTACATGAGAGTCATAAAATGCTTTTAAAATGGCCTATAACTCACAATTCTCGGAAACTCTGACAGGTGCCTCCCTCGAGTAATGTGGAGCCCAGGAGCTTTCATGGCAGGCCAGCGTTGCCACAGAGAGACCGAGGCCAGAGCTTGGCCCTGGAGTTGTGGCCGAGGTGGTGTCCTGAGTTCCAGCCCCATCCTCAGTGGGGGAGTGCCTTTTTTGAGAAATTGGGGTGAAGGCATCAGCAGGGCTTTCAATGTGACCATGTCATGAAGGCCTACTATGCACCAGGCACTTCTCGTGCTTTATCTCCTAATCCTCACACCACAGACCTGAGAAGCCATTATGGTTCCCATTTCACAGATGAGAAAACTGAGACCTGGGGAGGTGTGCCCCAGGCTGCATAGCTGGTTGAGAGCAGAACCAGGATTTGATCTTGGGTCTGTGTAGTTCTCCTGGGTCATGATTGCTGCACTACCCCTGCTGTCTCCCACCCCAAGCTGATGCCTTCAGTTCTAGCCTTGCCTTTGACCCTCACTCCACCACGATGGGATGGGACTGTGACTACCGTCTCTGAATCGTAGCTTCCCCGTCTGTCAGATGGGGCCCAGTAGTCCTTGCTGGCCGCTGTTGTTGCTAAGGGTGCAAGAACTAATGGATTCATGAGCAGCTCTCCACAGCCCTGAGAGCCTGCATCCACGTGGAAGGGCGGCTGTTAGCTTGATTATAGACGCCGCTGCAGTTTCCGGGAGGGGAAGTGTTTAATTGGGGGTTTTATTTCCAGCACCAGGGTCTGACTTAATGAAATATCCTTGGGCCTCCTGGCATGTGGCCGACTGCCTCCTGGTGTTGACAAGACCAGAGCCAATCCCCTGGCTGTGATTTACCAGCAGTTCCTGGGCCAGATAAAGCTAGGCTGATAAGCAGGGCTGTGCCTGGACCCTCCCTACCTCCAGCCAAGATGGGCATCTGGGGACCATAGGCCTGGCCAAGAATGAGCCTGGCTTTTAATACTGGCTGCTAATGAGGGATAATTGACAGACACACTCTCATAGGTTCCCCGAGCTTCTCGGGGACGCAGTGATCTCTTGATACTGTGCCAGTGACACATCTGTGCATTTACCACTTCCCCATCTTCCCTGTTGGCCCTCAACAGAAGGCCCAGGAATAGTGCAGGCTGCTGGGGATCCACACTGGTAAGAGGATCTACTGGGAGGATGCTGAATGTTAGCAAACCCAAGCCCTAAAGGGCAGAAGAGAAATGGCACATGGCCATTGTTGACTGTTAGCAGTGAATTTGGCTGCTAACTTTTGACCTCTGAAGGCAAAGAGCTAGGTGTTTGAATCCTGCCTCTGCTACTTCCTGGCTGGGTGAGCTTAGGCAAGTCACTTGGACACTAAGAGGCTCAGTTTCTTCATCCATAAAATGGGATTAACATGCCTACCTTGTAACTTGGTCGTGATGTTCAAGGGTGTCAAGCGTACAGCAGGTGTTTGAAAACCAATACTGTGTGTAGCTTGTAGAGAGGTTGTATAAGGTGCATGTAGGGAGGGAACCAGCAATTGTGGGTGCATCTAGCTGTGGTATTATTGGGGTATTATTGGGGTCACACTGCTGTGGGCTAAGTCCTGGGTAAATGGGCAGTTCGGTGGTTTGTGCCCCATTACCATGTCCTCTCCCTTCCCTTGGTCCCTCTGCCTTCTCTTCCTCCTTCCTTGCTGTCATCAAAATGGGCTGCCAGTGAAGGCCCTGACATCAGTCTCACTCCCTCTGGGGTCAGCCCAGATCCCCATCAGTGCTCTGAAGACTGGTTTGGCCTTCTATCAGAAGACTCGACCCCTGGTGAAGAATTCCAGGCATCCGTGCAGCAGATAAGAGGGGCACTCGGGGCTCGAGAAGAGCTAAAATCTGCTAAAATCAGACCACATGCCTCCCCTCCTCTGCCTTTGCCTTTGCCTGATTTTGTTCATAAATGCATTTGAGGGGTATTGGGACTCAGGCTCTTTTCGCTGCCGGAAGTCCTGTCACTAGATTTTTAGGTTTTTGTTTCTCTTCCAGGTAAAGTCTCTTAAAATGTTCTTCTAGAAGCATTGATACTGCGAGGTGATTTACTCTACTGTATCACAAGATGTTTCGGTCTCCTGAAGAGGGCCTTGGTTCAGGTTTTATGAAAGAGGGGGAGAAAGGAGAGGAGTGAACAGGGACGCTGCACTGGGTGACTGGGGGTTGGGGGTCTGGAAGGAAAAGGGTCTGAGCGATAGGCCCTGCAGGTACCTGATACATAACAACAGTGGGTAGACTGACAGTTTGTGAAAGGTAAAACAGATCCCTGGCCTAGATGGCTGCGTCCCTGCTGGGCCCTTTCAGGGCAGGCCCTGGGGTTTGCCTCACTCCCATCATGCACACATTTGTTTTTGTTTTTGTTTTAATTAATTTGTTTATTTAAATTTGAGTTAGTTAACATGCAGTATAGTCTTGGTTTCAGGAGTAGAACCCAGTGATTCATCATTTACATACATCGCCCAGTGCTCCTCCCAACAAGTACCCTCCTTAATGCCCATCACCCATTTAGCCCAACCCCCCCCCCACCTCCCCTCCAGCAACCCTCAGTTTGTTCTCTTTGTTTAAGAGTCTCTTAAGGTTTGCCTCCCTCTGCTTTTACCCTCATGTACACATGTTAATGAGCCTCTTCCCACACACAGTTCTTACTGCTACTCCTCCACCTGGAAACTTGTGACCAGGGCCTCCAGTGCTTCCCATCCTTCCTCCCTCCCTCCCTCCCACTGCACCTTCATCCCATGACTGGTCTTTAAAATCTTTTAGTCCTTTAGAATTTTTAAATCTTTTACATTTTGTCCTGGCTCCAGTTTCCCTCCTTCATCTTCCTGTGCTAACCCTAACCTCGTTTTTGTCCCCGGGTTCCTGGCTCTGGGGTCAGACTTACATTCTCCTCCGGGAAGGCAATGAGGCATTTCCTCCCAGGCACAAGTAAACCCCTTATTCCCTTTCATGACCTCACAGGGAACCAGGGACCACAAGCCACCCACCTCCCTGGGTAGGGGGCCAGCAGGGCAGGTCAGACTTGATGTGTGTGAATGAGCACAGACAGCATCCCACCCCAGCTCTGTTGGGCCTGTGTTTGGTCTCTCTTGGTTTGCATTTATGTTATTACTTTCTGAGGACTGTTTTTTCCTGTGAGAGTCTTGATTCCCTGGAGCCAGGAACTGTGCTTCCTCCTTCAGAATGAAAGCTCTCTGAGGACAGGGGCTGGATCTCTCCCTCCTCTCAGACTGGGGGGTCTCCGAGGGCAGTCTCTGTCCCCAGCATCTCACTAGGGGCTACTCGAAGGGAGGAGCTGGGTTTTCCGTCTTTGAATGGAGAGTCTCCAAGGGCTGTGCCTGTACCATTGACATTGGATTTCTTTTAGATCAGGCTGTCTTTGAGCATAAGACTCTGTCATTTCCATCAGATTAGGACTTCCTAAAGGCATGACTGTGTCTCCCCTCAGATTTGGGCTCCGTGAGGCAGGGCTATGTCTCCCTCACTCAGATTGGGGCTCCCTGAGGGCAGGGCTGTGTCTCCCCTGTCAGAATGGGGCTCCCCGAGGGCAGGGCTGTGTTTCCCCCACTCAGACTGGAGCTCCCTAGGGTAGGACTGTGTCTCCCCCTCAGACAGGCTCCCGGAGGCAGTGCTGTGCCTCTTTCTTCCTCTCAGGAGCTCTGAGCCCATCTGTTCCCAGGATCTGCTCTGTCTATGAAGTGTTGGAGGGAGGCAGGGGCTAGTCCTGAAAATTCGAAGTCACAGTGGGTGGCTATGGAGCTGTTGAAGGCCACTGGTGTTCAGCACCAGACCTTGTCAGCAGTGTGATTTGAGGCTGGAGGCAGGACATGGGAATGGGCTAGAGTTATCTCAAAAACATGGCTTCATCAAACTCTATCCCAGGGTGGCCAGGAGGAAAGGCTGAAGGTGGTGCTGGGTGGCCCTTAGCGACTGCCTTTCCTGTCCCTGGGCCAAATGGGCACATGGCAAGAGAGGAAGGCCTGAATGTGTGTGTGTGTGTGTGTGTGTGTGTGTGTGTGTGTGTGTGTGTGTCTCAGAGGTGTTGCCAACTCCAAGAGGTCAGTCCTGGGGGAGCAGGGGGGCCCTCAGGGCAGGGAGGAATGAGGGCTCTGTGGTGTTGGGCTCAGCTCCCACGTCTCTCTGCCCCAGTGCTGCAGGGCCACGTGTACCGGTTCTGCACAGCCGAGGGCCTGTGGCTGCGCCAGGACAACTCCAGCCTGCCCTGGAGGAACCTGTCTGAGTGCGAGGAGTCCAAGCGAGGGGAGAGAGTGAGTTGCAGATGGGGGCTCCGAGTCAGTGAGGGGTAACGGGGTCCCAGCCGCACCAGAGCAGGGCCCCTGGGCATCTGATGGGCTGGCCTGTGGCCATCTTGTCTATCCCCCTGCTTCTGGGGGCTTTGCACACCATGCTTGCTGGGCAGAGGCCATGTGTGTTCACCCCACTGGCCTTGGGACAAGGCCCTGGAAATCCAAGGACCATTGCCATAGGTTATTTTCTTTCTTAGTTCTGAAGTCCCTGGTGCAGCCTGACCCGGGGCCCCGCCTCTCCCTGTCCCATGGGAAAGACAGATGTGGGAGAGGAGGGCGTGGGCTGCCTCACGTGCACTGTATCCCTCGTGTGCACACAGAGCTCCCCAGAGGAGCAGCTCCTGTCCTTTTCCATCATCTACACGGTGGGCTACACACTCTCCTTCTCCGCTCTGGTCATCGCCTCGGCCATCCTCCTGAGCTTCAGGTAAGGGGCCTGGGGGCCCGGAGGGGCTGTTTCATTCCAGCTCCCCGCGCTGTCCCCAGTGGATGAGGAAGCACCAAACTAAAGTGACAGTGCTGCAGGTTCTTCTCTTAGGAGATCTCCGGAGAGCCTGTCCACTGAATACGAGGCTGAAAACACGGGATATGGCCCCGTTTGCCATATCTCTACTCTGTAAGAGCCTACATAGAATACTGCAAAAGAGAAAAAAACAAACAGCACACGAACACACAAAGCACATATCCCCAGACCTTCATAGTGGGTGGTAGGATTAGGGGACATCCCCTTCAGCTGAGCATGTGAAGCTTAAATCATCAGGAATTCAGTTTGATTTTAGGTAAGAGCTCAAGGGTTTAGAGATTCTGCCCTCTTTGGAGCTTATCGGCCCCCTGGAAAAGGTCTTCCTTAAGTCTAACCTCCATGAGCCATTCCTTCCAGAGGACCATGTTCTTCCCACTCCCTCTGCACTTGGTGGAGGATAAGCCAGGGGGGCTGGGTTCAAGGTCAGGAGCAATTCTGAGTGCAGGGACCTCAGGATACCAGCCCCACGGAAACAGGACAAACCTCATTCCTCCTGTCACCTCCATGGCACCTGGCACAGTCAGTCTGGGCACAGTCAGTGTTTGATAGATGCATTCACTCGGTGAATATTCTCCCCTTTTATTATGAAGTATTTCAGAGATATTAAAATACAGTGGCTGATACTGATCACTGGCACACCCAATGCCGAGCCCGAGAGCTAACACCTACCACACAGTCAACACAGGCATGCTGCCCTGGGTAGCCCACCCTGCCACTGCCCTCCACCTCCACAACCAGAGGAAAGCCCTGAAGGGGCTACTTATAATCCCCAGGCATCTCTATACTTTTTCCACATTTATAGTATCTGTACAAATAGATAGCTGTGGACTTTGCATATTTTAATGGTATGTTGTATATACTCTTGCAATGTTATTTTTGGCCTGCAATGTTTTTGTGAGATTCATTTATGTTAATGCAGGTAGTTCTGTTTTATATTAACCATCACTCCAGACTCTATTGTATAATATATTACAATTTATTTTTATCACTTTAATGGATATTTGAGGTGTTTCCTTTTTTTTTTTCTTCTCTGAATTACAAACCTTGCTACAAGGCAAATTCTTACTTATGACCCCTTGTGCATTTCTTCAGGGGCATGTACCTCTGAGTAGAATTGCCTGGTCTGAATGCCATGTGCTTTTGAAAATTTATTAGGGGTGTCTGGGTGGCTCAGTCGGTTAAGTGTCTGACTTCGGCTCAGGTCATGATCTCGTGGTT